CACTAGTTTTGTGCCGAGTGAGCCCACTGCTCTTTCTTATACTGTGGCTTCGGCGTTAACGGCCGGTAACGTTAGCGTCGTGTACGACACGTCGCCGTGTTTTATTTTCGGCCTTTTTCGGCCGAAACAGAAAGCACCGCGCGCGCGCGCGCGCGCGCGCGGTCGATGCACGTTGAATATCGCCGACGCTATTATAATTTCCGAAGTACGCTCCCGCCAAGTGTACCGCCAACACGACGGTTGCATCGCATATTAATCCCCGTGTCCGCGTTCTACGATACGTGGCCGCAATGCGGAAGCGCGACGCAATGCGGGAGAGGGAGAGGCGGGAGAGAGGCGGGAGAGAGACAGAGAGACAGAGAGAGAGAGAGAGAGAGAGAGGGGGAGAGAGAGAGAGAGAATATACGCGTGCTACGGGCTAGAAACATTATACATACATCTGCATAGAGAGACGTACGCCGACGAACACGCGTGGATAGGTTGGGCAAATTCGCCGCTTGTTTACCCGCGCTGCCGCGGTAGAGGTCTTGGTAGGCCTCGATAGAGATGTAAACTCGAATTAGGGCCGACTACCAGCGCGAACGCGAACGCGAGCGCGAGCGCGCCCGCCCGCTCGCGAGCTTCGCCCTTGCGTGCGCTCGAGCGATATTCCGCGCCCTATCCAAACTTGCGGCGAAACCGCACTTAACACGCACATATATTGCATGTGCCTCCTTCCTGCTCGCCGCGTCGTCCTTCTCCCTCTCTGCCTCTCGTTTGCGTCTGCTCCGGCACGAACGTGTAATAACGGCGATGATAATCGTATTAGAATACGCGGCGAGAGCGAAGAAATCGAGTCTAGCGATAACGACGGTGATTTCTGACAGCTAGAGAGAGAGAGAGAGAGAGAGAGAGAGAGAGAGAGAGAATTTTTCTCATCGGATGTGCGCTACTCACTCAAAACGTCACTCCGACATTCTGACGCTTCTCATTGAAGACGAAAGTCAGATGAAAGGGGTTGCAAATATATCGGTGTTGCGCAAACTGAGTGAAAGTAAAATCCGATCGACGACTTGAAAAATCGCGGCAAGATTTTCACTGCGAGATCACTCGACCTCCTCCAGGAGGTCGACGAGGCTGAAACGCGGTCTGTATTAAAAAACGTCAACATTTCGGCGAGAGAATCAGGGCGGTCGCAGCGAGCAAGCCTGAAATCCCTCGGATCCGAGCGAACTTACACATCTCGCCCGATCTCTCTCTCCCTCTCTCTCTCTCTCTCTCTCTCTCTCTCTCTCTCTTTCACAAGAGACGCTTATTTCTCGTATCGCCCGTGAGAAATAGATTGCTCGCGCACCGGATCGAGTTACTCACTTATGCTGCGTCCGCAGCGCGCGATCGCGATCCATAATAATGTCTGTTCCGCGAACGGGACGCGGCGACGCGGCTTTATCGGCGCGTAATTTCGCTCTTACGAAATTGCTCTTACGAAAAGCGCAAGGCTCGGCCTCGCTCGCGAGAGCCGAGCGTCGCGACGCGAGATTTCCGAGATTTCAGACGCGGCCTCGTCGTCGCACCTGCGACGAGCAGCCTACGAGCGATACGGGGACGTTGCTGAGTCGCGGCTGTGATAAATTAGCGCGCGGTGTTATAAAATTCGCGAGCGCTCGCCCGGCGTGTAAATTCAAATGATATACAGGCGAGCGCTGCGCGCGAGGCGCTTGTAGAGACGCGCGCGATGCCATCTCCCTCCTCCCTCTCTCTCTCTCTCTCTCTCTCTCTGCCGCCCCCTCCTCCCGTGTCCTCTCGTCCGTCCGCCTCCGCGAAACGTTCATAAAGATACATATTTATGATTGACTCTCGTTAGGCTTTTCATCGGTCCGCCGCGCCGGTCGCTTTATCGCGACGACCTTTCCGCTCGTTCGTACTCGCCCGGCGTTTATCGTATGCAGATATCGGGCCGGCCGACGCGAGCGCGACAACCGGCTCCTCCTCTCGCGGTTACCGGCGACGCGGTTTCCGCGCGCTCGCAACGTGGAAAAAAAGGGGGAGAAAAAGGTCGACGAAGGCGCGCGCGCGCGATCGAAATAGGGCAACGACAGCGAGCCGAGCGTGCGAGCCAGGCCACGGCGGAAAAAGGGATTTCTAATTGTCAAACGGCTGTCGTTCGTTTCCGAGCGCGTCCCCCCTCCCCCGCGCCGCCGTCCCCCACGTGCCCTCCTCTTGAAAATAAATATGTTCGATCGGATCGTATCTCCGCGAGCCGTACGATATTATTCCTGGCGTTTGAACGCACCCGTGCAATTATATGCATTTTATTGGAGGGCGCTGGGGAGCACTTGGGCGCGCGTAATCGCTCGATCTGCTTCGCCACTTGGCTCGTCCGTGCTCCATAACCGCTCTCCCTCTCCCTCTCTCTCTCTCCCTCTCTCTCTCTCTCTCTCTCTCTCTCTCTCTCTCTCTCTCTCTGGCGGAGAGAGGGCAAGGGGCGAGCGAGAGAAGGAGAACGGACAAGTGGAACGGCACGACCGGGAAAATAGCGAACAAGATGTAAATTCTGCGAAAGGAACGAGCGGAGAGCGATCCGACAACGACGACGACGCGGCGGTGCGAGGGGAGGGGAGGGGGGTGGGGAGAGCGGATAACGGTAGATCATGTCGATAATAAAATCCCTCTGGCTGGCTATAATTGTCATTAATTAAAGATGCACCTCATTTTTCGAGGCGAGCGTTTCGAGCGGCTCAATTAACGGCGCGCCGCGCGGATGAAATTGTGATCGCTATCTATGTGCCGCTCGATACGTTCGCGCTCGCGCTGATTGCACAAGGGCGCTGTGCGAGGCGTCGCGCCTTGGAGACAAACGTGCGTGCAAAGGCCGCTCCGAGAGCCGCGGATTGACTCTCGCGGATATCTCTGCGCCGGAACATGGAACTCCGCTTTCTCGCCGCGCGATCGCCGTACGTTATCTCGCGCTACGTCCTTGCTGCGCAGGATCCGTCGTTTCTCTATGAAATTCCCGCGGGAGCTTCGGGAGTATCGGAGGGACGACACGAGGTCCTCTGAAAAAATGCCGAGTCGACGCTGCTGAGTTTGTGCTCGCGAAAATGAGGAATCCCTCGACGAGGCTGGACGATTTCGTTCTCCGATTGCGACGAATCTCGTGCGGCCACCCCAATCGCTCGTTACACCCGCGTTAATATGAAGCGATGGCTAATGAATCGGTGCAATTTGTCCTTGCGGTGAGCCGAAAGAGCCGAGCGAACAAGCTGCCCGGCTAGACTCGACGCGACTTTTGGAAGAGTGCCACTACAATCGGCGTGTTTCGTCCCAAATGACCGCTCAGCGTGGGCGGCCGCCGTGTGTAGAATGGCGTTTCCTCCGAGAGAGAGAGAGAGAGAGAGAGAGAGAGAGAGAGAGAGAGAGAAATCCTCCAGCGAGAGGTCATTGTAGCAGCGCGTGATACCCGAGGAGCCAAGCATCCGTCGCGCGAGTCTGCGACTCTTTTTCGAAAAAGAACGTTTTTTTCAAACCACTCTCCCACTCCCCCGCCCCCTCGCCGCGAGATTTCAGACGGGTCGTTCCTCCGCGCGGGGAAAAGAAAGGGGAAAATGGAAGTCGATTAGTGTAAGTGTATTTATTTCTGTTGATTTCGAGAGGCGGGTCCGGGAGACGCGCGGTGTCCGTCGACACCTGCACAGGTGTGCGAGCCGGCGTTTCCTCGGATTTGTGTGTGCGCGCGCGCGCACACAAACGACCGCGACGTGTGTTGTGTGCGAACGGGGGCCTCGTATAATATCCGAAGCGTTAGGGCGTTCGGTGTCGGTATGTCGCGCGCGCCGGCGCGGCGTGGGCGTGCGTTTTATATTCATCGCGGAGGTATCATTTTCACGGGGAAGTTTGAGGAAAAAAAAGCGCGAGCGCACACACGCACACACACACACACACATACGGCCGAATAAATAATGTCGCGGCGTTAAACTCTTATCCGAGGTCGCCAGCCGGTGCGCATAAATAAGACTTGCGTGTAGGTACACTGTCTTTTCCCGTTCTCCCTCTCTCTCTCTCTCTCTCTCTCTCTCTCTCTCTCTCTCCCTCTCTCTCTCCCTCTCTCTCTTTCGAGGGCTCGGCGGATCGACCTCTCGTCGTCGCTCTCAGGCTCACCTTCGTCTCTCGCGCAAACTGCACAGAGTCGTGTAAAGACGGGAGTTTCTCACGTAGCCATGTCGAAGACGCTGGAAACTGTCGGCTCATGACTACCGGGTCACAACAGCGCAACGGTAAACGATAATTTTGCAGAAATATAAATCAGAGAATATACAGCGATGTACACAATCTGGAAAATACGTCAAGGGCAGAAATGGGCAAGGGTCACGCAGGATTACAGGGTTACCGGCTGCAAGCGGCCGAAGGGAAAGCTCGTCGTTTTGGAGCCTCATTGTTCTTCGTTCCATTTTAAAATTGCATAATGCTTGTCACAGAAACGGCCTGTAAAAAATTGCTGGGGGAAAAGAGAGGGAAAGTGGACATTTAGAAAAATATAAAAAGCATAGCCGGACTGGCATGAGGCAGACTGAACTTTTTCTGCGAATCCCTCATTGATGAATGTCAGGTCACAAACCCCGTGTCGGATTTTTTACACTTTTAACCCCAAACATTTCGTTAAACTATAAGGATTTTTTCGTACAGGCTATTGTCGTATCTCGATGTGCTGGGCACATAATTTTCCCTCGCGTTGAATTGCCTTTACGAAAGGATTTCGAAATTATTCGAGTGTCTTAATGTCCCATCTATGCGCTCGATTTTTATTCCCAACGGGCAACGTATAAATTGCGCAGCAGTGGTTTAACAGCCGATGAAATATGTAAGATGAGCGAATAATTTAAACGATCCAGCCGGGATCAATGATATGTGATTAATAGATCAGAGAATAACGTTTGCCCCTTCGCAGTTTCTTTATTATTCACGCTTTTCATGGACGTTGCAGCTGCAATATATAGGAAATGCTCATTCATTTTTCAGCACCCCGAGCCTGACGCCGCCGAAATCATCGGCGGATTTGCCTGTCACGCGACACTGAACACCGGCTCATGACCCGTGTAAATTACGGGAAAATTCGATCGGGGAAAAAATACGCGGTAATTAACTCGGTATAACGCCGGCTGGCCGATTAAATATTTCAAGAGCCGACGAATAATCGCGTGAAATGTAGCGCGACGCTCGGCGCGACGGGGGAAAAAAACGCGCGGTGCGCGCAAGTGCCGCAACAATCGGCAAGAAGTGTAAACTTTAGCCCGTCCCCCCTTCCCCCGCTCCCTCGTGGTCGCCCGACAGTGTAATAATCAAAATATTCCCCGGACCTTCATTCGCGCACCGAACATAAACACTCTCGCGCTTTCCCGCGTGTTTAGTGCGTGTCGAGCCGGGAGAGCGGTTTATACAGGCGCTTGTATCGGGAAGTTGCTCGTCTTCCCCTTTCCCCTGAACCTCCCCGGCTCCCCATCGGGCGATTGAAATATTTCGTCGGCACTTTTGAGATGCTCAATCAGCCTCTCGTCGGCGTTGCGTTGTTTAGTACGTACAACTTTCGGTCGAATCGTACCTACGCGAGTGTCGTCGTGAGCGGCGAGGATCGAGAGGCCAAGATGGAGGGCACAGGATGCGGGACGCAGGATGCAGGAGGTAGGACGCCGAGCAGCGATGCATCATACGTTGCCGAGGTACGCCAAATCATTTATTGCGCAAATTGCCGTTCCTGACGAATCTGCGACGAACTTGCCGGGAACGAGGAAATACCCGAGTCGAGATTCAGGCCGGCGTTCATAGTCCGTCGTCATTCGACTTTCGGCTTCGCTGAGCCTTGATTGTCTCTTCGTCTTTGTTTATTTCACGCGAGAAACTTTGATCGGAGCGGCCAAGTATCGGCCTATAAATGACTACGAACGTTTGACGATTAATGAGATGTTCTACTTCTCAGAAAGGATTCTAGATAATTGTGATCAACTGTGAGCGTCGGCCTTAAAGTATTATATTGTTATATAAATTTTGTAAATATTGATTTTTATACGCCTAATAATGCTCAGCCTGCGAGTGCGACCTTGTTTACATTTTCCGAACGCTTTTTCTCGCTCTTGCTTATTCGCTCTTGTTATTGCGCTGAATCGAAAGTTAAATTTTTGCCACTAAGGAGCATTATTGGACACGTAACTGCAATCTTTGTCTTGCAGCTTCTCATCAGCTCTCTCTCTCTTAAGGGCTATAATTCTCATCTGAATTTCCAAAGCAAGAAGAAAAGAGAAAAAGAAATGAGGAAAAGATGAGAGTAAAACGTGTCATTTCTTACTTCTATCGTTTAATATTTGTGCTTCTCTCACGCACTCCTCTCTATCCATTTGAAGTATTATGCAATTAATAATTGCAAACTGAAATTAAAAATAGGAGCTGAAGATGTAGAGAATAGAACATTGATTGAGAGGATCAAGTATTAAATACTTGGAAAATGAGTCTTTTTTTTCCGAGACAGGTGAGACGCAATTTCCCGTGAGATGCAACGTTGCCGTCTAAAGATCCCTCGTTGATCCTTCAAGTTGGGCGGAATTTGCAGGATTAATGTGGAATCAGAATTTCGACTCGGGGTGTGCGGGTAGAAATAAAAGCAGGGACGCACACTCGAGCCGGCGTCGTCCCAGATGTCCGCGCGAATCGTCCGACTTTTGAATATTTCCGCTGCGGAGCCGGAGAGCCTCGTCCCCTAGATGAATCGTTGAACGAATACCTAACTCTTACGGTCAAAACGTCGGGGGGGGGAATGTGTCCCTGTTTTTAGAGTGCAAGCAGCGGCGGGTTTTCACGAGGGATTGCCAGATTTATGACGGCCCGTGGCCTCTCTTACCTCGCCTTATTTTTAACCTTTCGCCCACTAACGAACCTTATCTCCCGGCTGCATTTCTCTGAGCAGCCGCGATAGACAAAAGAAAAACGTCTTGTTCGTTGGTCCCCATAACTTAAGGATCTGGCCGATTCCCGTATTCGGCCGGCCATTATACGCGCGTGTGCGTATGCGTGTATGCGCGCGCGCGCGCTCGCGCGCCTCTCAGAAATTTTTACATTTCGTATTATCTTTGCGCGAGATACCGGCATCGAGAAGTAATAAAGTGCGCCGCGATAAGAAACCCGTCGTGCGTCGCCGCATGAAATAATTGGCCGATCCAGCACGCTTAATTTTTTGATCGGAGCAGCTAGTCCGAAAATTAATTGGCCTCTGTCCATTTATCGTCCCGGCTAGAGGCCGAGCGAATCGGCAGCGCGCTCGTCACGTGTCGTTATCTTCGATTATTTCGCAACCGCCTTAACTAATATCTTAATGAGGCCGACTGTGCGTGAAAATTCATCTCGAGTGGAAACGATCGCGCTACAAGACGGGGGGAGTCGTCAAACCGCCGGGAGGATGTCGAGCTCTATCTGTCCGGACGAATCACTCGGTAAGGTCGGGAAAAAAATCGGAAATCGCGTCGCCCGGGAATTTAGTGGAGCGACACGGTCGAGCAAGAGTTCCTCCTTCAGATGTCGATCGGTATCGATCCAGATGTCGCTAACGGTCGTGACGCTGGACGCTCCCACAAGAAGGCGCGTTTTTTCAATTTTCCGTCAATAGCGCGTCGTCTCTTCTCCGGTGGTCGGCCCTCTGCGGTCCACGCCGGGTAATATGAATCGACCTTAAGACGTTCCGATAGGAGGGAAGCACCTCTGGATGTTGACATGTATAATGCAATTAGGAGAGACCGCGGTCTCTCTCTCTCTCTCTCTCTCTCTCTCTCGAGCACAGCCAGCCCTAAAAGCAGGGGAAGACGTTGTTTGAGTTGGGATAAGGAGAAATCGATCGCGCCCTCATTAGCCAATAATCGTAATTAGTAATCCGCGCGATTATACGCCTCGGGCTGAAATCGTCGGCCGAGTCTCTCCCCTCGCCCGCATCTTGGAGACGGTCGAGCGACGGCCCTCCGAGGCCGAAGGGTAAAAATAAAGAAATGTATATCTTCCGATGTGCAATTCGCGGCACGTAACGACCCGCGTATGAGCGCGATCGATAAGAAGGCGCGTTTTATGTCGCGTCTGGTCGTGCGCCGAAGGATCGTCGTTAGAAAGCAGATCTTGAAAAAATGTACACGTGCGCGTTGCTTCTTTCTTTTTTCTTTATTTTTTTTCTTTCAAGTACAGCGTATTTCTTTAATTAAACGCGGAATAATGAAGCAGCCGGACGGCGTCCGGGGTTTTTGTTTTCCGAGCGGAGAATTCTATGAGCGGAGGAGGAGGGAGAGCACGCTTTCCGCGTTTTACAAGTGGCACGTTTGGAATCTCCCTCGAGAGGGTCTCTCCCGGAAAATGTAAAACCGTGTACCTGCCCGAGAGAGGGCAGCCAGATAATAACGTCGACATTAATCGCATAATTATCTTATATTTTCACCGGGGAGAGAGGGGGAGAGGAGAGAGAGAGAGAGAGAGAGAGAGAGAAAACGGGAACGCTAACGAGCGCGTGACCCGCGCATGAACGAGGACCACACGCACGGGCGTAATATTACGGGGGGGACGGGGGGACGGGGAGGGGGGGAGTGTCCTCGGCTTTTTGTCGTCGGCTTTTTGTCCGGCTATGATACCGCCTGAAAATCATAGCCGGATCGCGCGCGATGGAACTGCCTGCGCGCAACAAAAGATCGCTCCGCCGGAGCGGAACACGCTCGATAGAGCTACGCGCGTTCCCGAAACTAGTGTACCGTTACGAAAATTAATTATAAATTTGGGCCAATAACGAAAGCCCCTCTGGTCTAGATATGCCTCGTCATAACGCCTACTTTCTGCTTCGCCGCCGCCGCGCCGATGCGGTACGGACTGCTGGCGAGCAGTACGTCGGAAATCGCGCTTCTAAACAATCCGAACGTCGGTCGGTTGAACGAGTCTCGAGAATTTTATCCGCGAAATTTCAGCCCGACATTTTCTCAGCGATTCACTGGAACCTGCCGGATCGTAAGGTAAACGTCCGAACGGACCGGACACGTCCTAGTATCTTTCTAGTAACGTCTAGTAACGTAGACCACTTTGAGAAAAAATACTTACTATTTATTTTAACAATAATGAATGAAGGTAATAATTATTGTAAAAGGAAACTAGAATGTTTGACGATTAATTGGAAGAGGATACAGCCAATTTGATACTTCTGTATTGAAATAAAAATTAATTAAACAGGTATGCACCTATGGTTTGGCAAAATAATGTTCAATCGTTGATAAATTTATTAAGAGATAGCATCTGTATTTACATTCCTGTTAGCACATGCTAATTTTCCAATTGCGCTCAGACACTGGGACAAATTATATCCCAATATTGAGCCATAATCTGTTTCAACCTATCCCCAATTACTGGTACATTAATGCGCTTCGTTACTTGTGTAGATGTTTCATTAATAATAGATATATACGTTGGTTTAAATCATTTTCCTCCACTTAAGGGAATCTTAAGTTTTCGAATAAATGCAAATATTTACATCAAAACTATTCTTAATATTATGCGTTATATTTTTTGTGACGACCTACGCTTAAACGTCCGGTTACTGGGACATTTACCTAACCCCGCCCCGTGCACAGACAGGTGAAGATGAGATCGCATCTCAGGTTTAAGAAATGACTGAAAACGAGGGAGGGCGGGCTGAAGCAAAAGTTGCCTCGGGATACTCGATACAACGACGAATCGCAACACTGAACCGACGTCCTCGTCGTCGCGACGCGCGATAGAGTATCGACGAATGTGCGAGATTGTTCGCATGGAACCGATCGGCCGGCTATTAATTAAGCATCGTCGGCGGCACGACGATGCTCGGACAAAGACGTCGCCGTCGTCGTCGTTCCCGGCGCGCTGCCGATCCTCAGTCCCAACTCTCGTAGAGAGAGAGAGAGAGAGAGAGAGAACATGCCGTTCTCCACTCATCCACGAAAACAAATGTTTAAATTCAAGAGAAGTTAATTAAAACTAAGCGTAATTATAGCGGCGCCGCTATGTAAACTGACGAGGTGGATGGGGAAGAATGACGACGAGGAGGAAGGGACGAGCGACGGCGGGACGCGATTGCCCTCCGTCGGGCCGGAGATGAGAAGCTATTTTGCTGTGCTCCTGGATATCGTGTCCTTGTGAAAGACTCTATCGTAATAATGAGCGGAGGGAGGGGTCGCGGGGCGAGAGGGGGAGGGGGAGGGAGACAGAGAGAGCGAGAGAGCGGGAGACGGAGAGCAGCAAAAAAGACCTTCCCGGAGATGGAGACTCGCTCGTCCCTTCAAAATTCAGCGTCATCGAGTCGCTATTAAAAATTCCACGCGCCGCGCCGCGGAATTGTTCGAGAGAGGGCCGCCGCCTCGTGCGATAACTCGCCCCGCTCGCGGTGAAATCGCGCGTACCTGAGTGCCGCGGATTTTCGCCCGGCCGACATTATCGAGACGAAACGCGCGCGCGCGCGCGCGCGCGCGAGAGAGAGAGAGAGAGAGAGAGAGAAAGAGGTCTTTTTATTCTCCAGCGGAAATAGCAAAGATAGAGGTTCGCGCCAGTTGTATATTAAGTCGTGCGTACACGCGAAGGCAGGGCGCGCGCGAGCGGGCGATTAATTATCGGGCAAGATTAAATGAAGTCACGGTGGAAAGCGCGCCGGGCATATCGGGTCCTTTGACGTGGCGGAAGG